AGGAACCTTGTGTGCCGAGAGAATGAGGCAAAGCACCAGGGTCATTCCTGGGAAGACCAGCCCAGAACTGGGGCAACCTCATTCCCACCAGAGGGCTGGGAATCGCTGGGAGTGGGACGCAGGCTCCCCATAAGCAGCAGAGAGGCTTGCAGGCTGGGGTCAGCCACAGCCAGCCCAGCTACCCTGCCCGTTCCTCGCCACAGGCACCTACCTGAGGATGTTGATGCAGCCGTTGCCATTAGTGAGGAAGAACATATTATTATCATTGTTCCAGGAGATCTCATTCACCTCAAACTTGAACTGTTCCTCAGCTTTGGACCGATGTGTCTTGGCATCAATGAAGGTGACCACATCATCCTTGTTCCCCACAGCTATGGTCTGTCCATCAGGGCTCCAACAGATGTTGATGTTCTCCCCTGGAGAAACAAAAAAAGCAGCAGGTCCCATTTCCACCCAACAATCTATAGCAGCCACAAGTTAGGGCAGATAGGCAGCTTTTATTTCTGATCCAAGGCCACAATCTGCTCCACTAACTCCAAACCACTTCCAAATGGGAAACACTGCCAGGTCTAACACACAAACCTTATAGAGCAGCTGTCCAGCAAACACGTACAGTACGGAAAATCAACTTTAACAGAAGCACAGCTTCATACCAACACAGCTATATCATCAATCTATTTCAGCCAACATGAGACCACAGCAACCACCAAACAAGGTCACATCAGAGATCCTCTTAACCCAGTGATTTTTGAGATCCAAAGAAAGCAGAAGCCAACAATAAATACATGTGAATAATGGTAAGAACAATACAAGTTGCAGTTATGCCATCTTACAATGCCATTTCCAGCCTCAATAATTCAAAATTGGAGACTTCCAAGGCCAAAGATGGTATCTGGGTTAACCAGACCATGAATTCACGTAATTGCTTCCTGAATCCACACAAACTTTTACTTCCACCTTGGCTCTCTGAAAACATGCCTTTCCCCAGTCTCTAACCGTGCAGCCCACACACTCCAGACACAAGTGTCATAGAATGGCTTGGGTTGGAAGGGCCCTTTAAAGGTCATCTAGTCCAACCCCCCTGCACTGCGCAGGGACATCTGCAACTAGAGCAGGTTGCTCAGAGCCCCATCCAGCTTGACCTGGAATGCTTCCAGAGATGGGGCTTATGCTACCACTCTGGATAAATTCTGCCAGGGTTTCACTACCCTCATCGTAAAAAAGTCTTCCTTATATCTAGGCTAAATCTCCCCTCTTTTAGTTTAAAACCATCACTCCTTTCCTATCGCTCCCCTAAAAAGATTGTCCCCATATTTCTTCTAGGTGCCCTTTAAGCATTGATGGGCCACAATAAGGTGTCACTGGAGCCTTCTCTTCTCCAGGTTGAACAACGCCAGCTCTCCCAGCCTTTCTTCACAGGAGAGGTGCTCCAGCCCTTGGAACCTATTTGGGGCCTCCTCTGGACCTGCTTCAACAGGTCCATGTCGTTCACATGCTGAGCACACAGGACATTTTAACAGCCAGCACCATATTTCAGCAGTTTCCCCAGTGCTCTTGCATTCACTGCTGCTCCTTACAGATCAGCGCAGCACGCAGATAAAAGCTGTCAGCAAAGATGGCCTGATCACCAAAACCCTCAAGAAGGGTCTAAAGCACTATGCCACTGCAGACTTCTCCCAGGCAGTGAAGGTCCTGCTGGTACCCAACAGCCCTCCCAGGAAGGCAGGCACTCACCTTTGGTATTGACAGTGGCGATGCACTTGGTGGTGCGGACGTCCCAGATGCGGATGGTTTTGTCCCCAGAGGCTGTGACAAAGAGGTCAGGGTTGCTGGGGTGCCAGCAGAGCTGATCTACACTGTCCCCATGGCCCCGGTAGTTGTTCTCCTTCACCTGGAAGGAGAGGACAGCGTAAGAAAGACATGGACCTGCTGGAAAGGGTCCAGAGAAGGGCCATAGAAATCATTAGGAGACTGATGCACCAACACTTTAAGTACAGGCTGAGAGATTTGGGGTTGCTTAGCCTGGAGAACAGAAGGCTCCATGGAGACCTTACAGAAGCCTTGCAGCACTTAAAGGTGGCCTAGAGGAATGATGAGCAGAGATTCATTTATCAGCAAGTGTAATGACAGAAGGGATAATGGTTTCAAACTGAAAGAGGTTACATTTAGATTAGATATCAGGAAGAAGTTCCTCACTGCGAGAGTGGTGAGACTCTGGAACAGGTTGCCCAAAGAAGCTACAGATTCCCCATCTCCGGATGTGTTCATGGTCAGGCCAGATGGGGCTTTGAGCAACCTGCTCTAGCAGGAGGTGTCCCTGCCCGTGGCAAGGGGGTTGGAATAAGATGATCTTAAGGTCCCTTACAACCCAAACTATTCCATGACTCTATGGCAGCCATTCACAGGAGGGACAAGCGCCCCTCTGCACCCGGTCTTGCCCCAGATCCTGGTATGCTGCATCCCACTCCACTGCTAGTTACCGGCTGGGGCAGCCCAGCCCAGCGCCCACGGCTATGCCAGGCACGCTGCCCGCCCACG